TCTGGTGTCACTCATTAGTTTTGGACTCCACAATGTTAGTGTCATGCTGTTTTTTTTGCAGCCAGAAATTACTATGTTTGGAGGACAGCGTGGCATGTTAAGTATCTGTTAAGCTTAGCAAGCTTGGTTAGCAAGCTTCATTCATAATATGGATCAGTGTAACATGTAGATTACTGATCCTGATTTTCTGGGGAAACATCGAACCATTCCCAGGCCATCTGTTGGATGTAATCTCTCCAGTAGGTCCTGGGTCTACGCTGGACATGCCTAGCCTGAAGACTATCCAGGAGGCGACAGTCTCAGCTGGCTGAAGTAGTATTGGCCTATCTGAGCCCCTCCTGAATAACTGAACTCCTTATCCACCCTTTCTCCAAAGGGTGGATAAGGAGTGTTAACAAAAACATCAGGACTAGATGAACAAATTTATTTATCAGCAACAGTGCTTCATCTGGTGACATGACTTGACATGACATGAAAGTTTGGAAGGAGCCACCCAACTCCATCAATATATGTCAAACCATGAGCTCCATGAATCGGTACAGTCTGGCTTCAGAACACACCACAGGACTGAGACTACTCTTATCAAAATAGCTAATGACATCATGACAAGTGATTTTGGCCACATCAGTATCCTCAAGGTCCCAGATCTTTCTGCAGCCTTTGGCACTTGTTCTCACACCATCCAGCTTTCACATATATCCAGATATCTTGTCCTCACTGGTGCTGTAATCTCCTGCTTTCAGTCCCACCTCTCCAACCCAACACAGTGTGTCACTGCAGAAGGCTCCCACTCCCCGTCTGCCCTGGTTAACCACGTTGTGTCTCAAGGTTCTGTGCTTGGACCCCTTCACTTCACCATCTATATGCTCTCTCTTGGTCAGATCATGTGCTGCCATGGTCTCTGCCTGTGTTCCTATGATGATGACACGCAATGTTATCTCAGCACCAAACCCTCCACCCAGTTCCCCCTGCAATTGCTTGTCAAATGTCTGCATTGCTTCAGAACATGGATGTCATCTAACCTACTTAAGCATCAACAGTAATAAAACTGATTTCTTGGTTCTGGCCCCCAAAGCCCTACTGTGGAAAACTGATGTTCCACTCATTGTCGCAGACAGACGCCTCCTCTCACTTTCCCCAGAAGTTCACAACCAGGGTGTTGTTTTGGACTCTGCACTTTAAGTCCAGGCTTATATCCAATCTCTCTCAACTTTGGCCATCACTCACTGACTCAGATAACTTCATCCATTAAGGCTTTGTCACCACCTGGCTGGATTACTGCAGTCGGGCCCTGTTCAGAATGTCCAGCAACCCCCTGGACAGGCATTGTCCAAAACTCAGCACTTTCTAACACACACTAAGCTCTGAAAGGTTCAGTATATCAGTATTGATTATTAAATCTGTAATGCGACATATCCCATCGCAATCTTACTTAAAGTACTAAATACCCAACTCTATACTGTACTCACCATTAGCAGTCTTGCTAATCTTGAATTTTCTCATGTTTGTTTGTTTATTTAATTGTTTTTTGATAGAAATGTAAAGCACTTTTAATTTTTGTAGTTAACTTTCCACACTTTCCACACATGACACAGAATCTACAATCATTAGGCAGGTTTCCAGTCACTGTTTGAAATAAATTGAAACTGGGAGAAGCCGTCTAAGAAAAATGATTACTGCTTTGCTCAGTAAATTGATTGGGATCAGTGTAAACTAAATGAAAATCGAATGATAAAACTTAAGTCTTTTTCTTTCATTTCAGAGTCGGGGCTGACATCACTCTCCTCCGAGAGAGGGAGGTTGACTACGACTCAGACAGAAACACGCGCAAAATTGCAGAAGTCCTTGTTCGAAAAGTTCCTGATGATCAGCAGGTAAGAGTCTGTCTGTTACACATGGTAGAGGAAAAAGAGTCCAGTTGAATCTGGCAAAACAACAGTGGTGTCAAAATACAGCAATACTCTAAAAAGGATCACAGCATCTCCCATTTAGGCTTTAACTATAGAGAGCACCAAGGGTTCTTCTTTAAACAGTGCTGTTTAAAATATGAAAATATGATCCCATTTTCTGTCTTGCTGTTTTGGTCTGCAACAGTTCCTGGATCTGCGGGTGGCAGTGCTAGGCAATGTGGACTCTGGGAAGTCAACCTTGCTGGGTGTCCTGACACAAGGCGAGTTGGACAATGGACGAGGCCGTGCACGGCTCAACCTTTTCAGACATTTGCATGAGATCCAGACCGGACGCACCTCCAGTATCAGCTTTGAGATCTTAGGCTTCAACAGCAAAGGAGAGGTAATCCCTTTGCCACTTAGGATATTAGCAATATTCAGAAGTTTACATTCACTATGGACATGAATTCATGCTAACTTGGGGCTTTTACTGATTTCTTTGAACTGTGCTTGTTCCAGGGTGGAATGATTGTACAGTATACATCTTTAATGACTTTATAAACAACAAATTTAAATCTTTTAACAAGTGGTGTAGAGGGTTTTGTGTCTTTTAACTTGATATAAATTTCTTGTCACATTTTTGGAACAAGCTTTTGGAGTGGATAAAGCAGGCCAACATTAAGCTTCAAGGAATGGTCTTTGCCACACCCTCAACACAAAAATATAAATCTGTGGACTATGCTTAAAAGCCAAATTGATTTCAAGAAAATCACTTCAAATACTCTAAAATTCTGCCGGAGAGAGGGGTCTAATATTCAGCCAGAATTAGGCCAGGATCTTTTTATTGCTGCCAGAAGCATCTGGTCAATGTGGGACATTTAACTCTGTTTGCTCTGTTTTTTGAAACAGCTTTGTAACTTTATTTAAAATTCAGTTTGAAATTTTGCATAATGCTCTTCTTTTACCATTGCTAAATTATTTAGATGTGTTAAGGACTGTATTCTATTATCTTTTGTTTATTAGTAGGTTCTAAAATATATTTTGCCTTCACAATCTCTAATGAAATCCTGAAAAAAATAATAAAGATTTATGGTGTATAACAATTTCACCTTTAGAAGCCCAAAATTACCATCATGCCCATGACGAGTGTATGGAAACTTTTCATTACAACTATATATCAGATATTGACTAATTTATTTCATGGGTCATATTTCTGCTTTGTAGATTGGCCTCTCACCATGCAGTATGTCAGACACAGTGAAGAACTACACCATTTGAAATTTGGCATGTATATTTTTAATGTGCTGCCTAATAGATTCTCTACCTGACTCTTAAAAATCAGTCAGGTAGAGAAAAAACATTTTGTGGTTGTTGTTGCCATTGCTGCACACCACAACTCAGGGTATTAGCATATTTATATTCGTAAACGATCCCTGACAATAAACAATCAAACTGTAAAAACAAAACAAAAGACGTGTTTTATTTCAATTCTGTCCTTTGGTGCAGCCTGTCTTGTATGTTACCTGTAAAAGGTTGTGAACTACAGTGAGTCCAGGACAGCTGAGGAGATCTGCGAAAGTTCTTCCAAGATGATCACCTTCATCGACCTTGCAGGACACCACAAGTATTTAAAGACCACCATCTTCGGCCTCACAAGTTATTGCCCTGACTTTGCCATGCTGGTGGTGAGCGCTAACACTGGTATTGGTAAGTAGCCTGTATTTTGTTTTTTTAATATCTAAAACCTGTGGGTACGCCACAGATTTACCCATCCAGTCAATTGAGAACATGCAAACTCCAGAAAAAAAGACCCAGGAATACCAAGAACCTTTTTAGAGACTTAACAACTGCATCACTATGTCCAAAAGATAAAAGTTCTATGTGTAAATTTTGTAGGAATATTGTTTCTAGTTGAACGTGATTGTAGTAGGGTTCTTTTGCTCTTCCAGTGCCTTAACGCAAACTGATAAGTTATGAACAGAGCAGGTTTCTCTTTGATTGTGTAGGGTTTCATTTGATGAAGACATTATCTAGGAGTTAGTTAGATAAAAGAGGTGTTGTGACGTGGTATAAAAGATACAAGAAACAAAGGAGATGTGTTGTCTGTTCAAACACACTTGTATGCTACCTGTCTGGATCACTTGGAACCCCGGGCGAGCAGATACTAAAAAGTACCTGGTAACAGGAACTAATGGAAAACCCTATAAAAACTGGCGAACCGTGCCGACTTGATCTGAGTAGGCACTAATGGAAAAAGGGCCTTGAATTCTGTTTTTATAATTATTCTTTACTTGCTTTCAGACCATTATGCGACCGTCTGGGCTGCAGCTGAAAGAATAAAAACTAAAACTGTCTTATGCAAATTTAAACATTAGTCAAACAGAATACTCATCTACACCTCATCAGATTCTTCCATGACTTAATGATCGAGGCATTGACAAGTCTGTTAACACACCCAGCATTTTGACAAGCTTTCCTTCATGTGTCACATAGGCTACACTTTAGTAATAAAGCACCTCTTTTCTAGTCTTACTGACCTATAACATTTAAGGCACAGAGTGATTTTAACAATAATCGACTATACAGTAATTTTTTTCCTCTCCACTGCTAATCCTGGTTACCAGTGTTTGGGTAAGTGAATCCAGATAACTGACAGATACCCTAGGTATGTTTAACTCACTTCATAGTACAGAGTCCAGGCCTCTGACTACTTTCTAGGCACAAATAATTTGAATATTTACAAATGAAATAGAATTGTTCTCACTTGGACCCAACTGCCTTGTTACGTTTAGATTTCCTATGCACATAAGATGCGAAACATCACAAGACAAGTGTTCTGGGTAATTGAGTATTTTATTTTTTCCTTCATCCAGCTGGTACAACTAGGGAACACCTGGGCTTGGCCATGGCGCTGAAAGTTCCTATCTTCATTGTAGTCAGTAAAGTGGACCTGTGTTCCCGAGGCACTGTGGAGCGAACAGTCAGACAACTAGAGCGAGTTCTGAAGCAGCCGGGCTGCAACAAGGTGCCCACGGTGGTGTTGAACCCTGACGATGCTGTGAGTGCAGCACAGCAGTTCACCCAGTCCACATGGTGAGTAAAAATACTCATTATCAGCTACTGTGTGTGGCGGGGAATAGCTTAATTGTACAGTGTATACAGCAGTATAAAAAAATTCACTAATAAATAGATAAAGCAGTATATAGTGCTGCAGAAATGATAAGTGAAGGTCATGAAAATACTGCTACGATACACAAAGCACAACATAACTGTTCTATAATGGATGATAACATTTTCGGAAAACTTGTTTAAAGTCGAATTCATGAATCGCATTGCATTTTGGGTAATCACCACAATGTTGTTGTTCATGCACATCCAAAGCAAAGACTGACACCAACAGGTAATACGGAGGAAAAGAAACTAATGAATAGGGCTGCTCAATTAATCAAATTTTAATCTCGATTACGATCTGGGCTTTCAACGATCATTAAA